CCACCCACCCGCCCCGCCCCCATTCTCTCAGGAACGAACAACTGGTTCCCTTGTTTCCTCGCTACTCTGAATATCTCGTCCACATTGGCTTCCCTGTGAGGCAAAGAATCTTTGTCCAATCGGGCGTTGGCCGTGCCGGGAGCTGGGCTGGGCTTTCGATGTGGCGTGCGTGGGTGGGGCGCGCCCGCCGCATGCATACCCAGCCGGCTCAAGGAGGCAGCTCCAGGCTGCGCCCGTGACCCAGACCCTGCTCTGCTGGTGGTCCCCACCGCGGTCCCCTCCCCTCCCAACTCAGCCTGTATACTCCTCCTGTCTCCTCCTCGCGCCATAGCGCGCAGGGAAGGGCTTTGCATTTCTGAGCGGCGTTGCAACTTCCCCTGGGGTTACACCCGAGGTTACACCGCGTTCGCATCTCGGCTCCTGGTCCTGGTCAGCCTGAGGAGGAGGCGTGGCGTGGGAAACACCAGCTCCTCCGCCCGTCGCCTCTCGCGGCGCCATGCTGTGAGCGAGCGGTCTGAGCGCCACCCTCGCCCCCGCCGCCGGGGGCTGGTGTCAGCGTCAGCCAGCCTCCCCGGCTGACGCCACGATATCGCGAAGTTCGCTCGGTGCACAAGAGCCTCGGCCCATCCTCGCGCCGCCCGGCCAGGTCAGTGCCCTGCTCATCCTGCGTGCTGGCGCCGCGCCGCGCCCCGCCTGCGCCCCGCCCGCGCCCCGCGCGCGCCCCGCCCGCGCCCCGCGCCACACTGTTGTACAACTTGCGTCAAGGTCAGTGCGCTTATTCAGCTGGTTCTCCGGTAAACGAGCGATGCGCCGCAATGTACATGGTCAATCAGGGTCTGAACAATGTATCTTCGATTCCGCTGCATCGGTAAAACTGTAGAAAAGGGACATTTTGGCAAAACCCTAATGATTTGGGCAAGAAATGCTTGTAAATGAAAGTAAGGAATAAGCGTCACCAATGTGCACTAAGGTGTCCCAATCGATCCCGTTCTTCTTATTAGTTATGCTTCACGACATGGACGCCCCTGTGCGGGTTGCCTCCTCGACCGGATCCATAAAATAAGGCGTCATTTTGACATCAAATGACATCACCGTTGATGTTTAAGGGATGTCGAAGCCGGCCACCAAAATGACCAAAAAATATTGACTCCATCACTTGATGTCATTTTGTCAAAACCATGTTTTCTGGGAACCTGAGACCAGTGCTGGTCGCTCGATGTCCGTATAGGTGTCCGGGGCGGCGATCACTTTGACCGGCCGCGTCCGCCGCCCGCCTCATGTTTGGTGTTGTGTTATGATATACCGTTACACTCCGCCGGCGCGGCGCTCCTTGTTGCTCGGCGCCGCGCTCCATAGGAGGCGGCCGAGGACGAGGCGAGACCTGGCGGCGGCTCAAGCAAGCCTCACGCTGCCGGAGGAGATCGTCACCCTGGGCCTCGGCCGCGCGATGGCTGTTTTAAAAGCGCCGATGGCGATGCGAGATTGAGGCTGCTAACAACTTGTCACGTGGACCAGCGCGTCCGGCCGGGACCGCCGCAGGCCACTTTGGGCCGAAAAGGCCGGCGAAATGAGATCATCACCTCGCTGCCGATCAGATCAGACCGCAGACGGACTGTACAGTCCACTGTGCTGAGATGGACGGGACGCGGGCGTCGCGATCGTCGGGGTGATGGTGGTGATGGTGGTGGCGGCGGCGGCGAGTGGCAGCGCGGCTCTGCAACTGCTGCAACGGTCCAAATGGACGGAGGTTATTCCGTCTCCAGCCGTGTCATATCGCGGTGCAGTCGGTGGGCCGCGCGGCATGCACAGCGCCCCGCCCCGCCCCGCCCCGCTGCCGCACTGCTGGTTGGCTGCACTCCGGGCCGTGGCGGGGCGGGGCGGGCGGGGCCGTAACGGGACGAGCATTATGTGGACGATCTTAATGGACGGCTCAAACGCATCACGCTGTGCGTGAGCTCCGAGGCGCACGGCGACGCCATCCGCGGTATATTTGATCTTGTTTCCGTACCGACGAAAAAACAATCGAAATTCTTTCATCGTACGTCGCCTTTTCAGTGCGGGCGGAGGTGGGAGGGTGCCAGCCGCGGTGCGGACCGAGGCGGGTCCGGGGCAGTCCCTGACGGCGTCTCGCCGTCCCGCCGCCGCGCCCCGTAGTCCGCTTTGGCCTGTACTGTAACAGGATTACCTCAAGCTGCTTGCGGTGCAGCTGTTGCGGCGGTGCAGTGCGCGGGTGCGCGGCCATAGCCCTGCCCCAGCTGGCCGGCTGGATGTGGCCACTTTGTGCAGCTGCGCTGCGCTGCCGGCCCTGCCCTACCGTCTGACCGCGGCCGGCCCAGCTGCTTTGCCTGCCTCCCGACGATCCAGGCAGCGGGGAAAAGAGGGGAAGAGTAGTGCGGTGGGATCGCTGCTTTGAGAGCTCTTTGCTTTTATCGACCAAAGACCATGACGGGCTTGACCACATCCCTCAGCGTTGCGGTGCCCGCGCCATCACCGCTCTCGACCACGCCAATAAACCTCTGACGCCGCGGGCAGCCTCACGCCCCGCCACGCACTACCACGCCCCGCCACGCCCCGCCACGCCCCGCCACGCCCCGC